AGTTTAATCGCATGAAGCCCAATGGCCCCTCTGTGACTCAGTTGTGCTTCTTTGAAGTCTGGACCCACACTGGTTTTATTTTTCATCTTTTCATGTTGTATGGTCTTTTGTAACATTTAAAATAGTAACCTGTGCTTTGGGGAGGCCATTAGCCAATTCAGTTGCCTTAATAGCAACTACCTGCTGAGCCATTATGCTCTAGGTTTCAAGTGTCCTCTGACCTGGTTTGAATTGATAGCTGTCTGTATGAGACTTTCTGTTGTATCCTAGCCGTTCAAACATTAAACAGCTATTCTTGGTCAAATGGAGGAAAAAAAAAAAACAAATTTGTTCATATCTTTCTTGTTCTAATTCCTAATACTCATTTACTCTGCCCAACATATGTACTTAATCATAGCTACTTTCATCGGTTCCTTTATATATGCATGTATTGTGAACCAAATTAGTCCCCTAAATTTATATGCTGAGTTCCTAGTCCCTAGTATAACTCCAAATATGAATGTATTTGGAATGGGGCCTTTAAAGAGATAATTAAGGTATCAAATGGGTGGGATCCTAATGCAGTTATTTCTGATGTTTTCATAAAGACAAAACAGACATCAGGCCACACTCACACAAAGAAAAGGACTGTGAGGACACACAGAAAAAGATAGATGTTGACGCTATGAAAGCAGGCCTAGCTGATTCCTTGATCTTGAATCTCCAGACTCTAAAACTATGAAAAATAAATTTGTGCCATTTAAGCCACCCATCCTATGGATTTTCATTATGGTAGTCTGCCTTAGTTACTTTTCTTCTTACTGAGACAAAATACCCGACACCCAAAGTTAAAGGAGGAAAGGTCAATTTAGTTCACGGTTTGTAGAGGTCTTAGTTCATAGTTGGCTGACTCCAAAGCAGGGTGGCATGGCAAAGGGATACTGCAGAAGGAGAAATAGTTTGTGGCAGGAAGAAGGCACGAAGGCAGCAAAGCAGAGAAGCAGCAGCAGCAACAAATGACAAACAACAATAGCAACACTCTGTCTGTTGTATTTTATCCAGGCTACTCATCCTTAGGGCCTGTAGTACTCACACCCTTAATTCTAGCATAGCACTGTGAATCAATCCCAGCATCCCATCCTTGATCCTAGCATCTCACCCTGGATCCAACCATTTCTGAAAAGCACCATCTATGACAGCAGGAGTCTTTAGGGGACATCTAGGTACAAGCCATAACACAGCCTTAGCAAATTAATACAGCCAATCAATGTAACACCTGCCTTTTATTAATTGCCTCATTTAATTGTCATAGTAATTGAATGAGGCAGATACTTAGACAGGGACTCCAGTTTAAAATTTTCACACAGCAGCAACTCTGTTCAGAGTATGTTTAAGCCTGATCTCAAAATTAGATATGTGAGATAATCTGGCTTATGGTGAGGTGAGAAAAGGAATTTAAGGGAGCCAGCTATTTTCCTGACATATGTGTATTTTTGTTCAGATTGTGTCTACTTGTGTGTACTCCTTATTCATTACATTAGAGTAGCACAAGATGTGTTCTTAGAGTGAGTTTGGATGAAGCTTGCAGTTTCCCTGCCAGCCTTTGTGAGTCAGAGGAGGCTTGAGTATTATTGGGAACCATCACTGCCCCCTGTAGGGGAGGAGCCATTGTCCTCACAGAAGGCTAAGATCTTCATGAGCAACAAAACTGAAAGCTCTCAAGATATCCTCATACTTAAATACAAATAATAAACATAATAGCCTATTGTTATACAGTGTTTTAAATTTTATATAGTACTGTTATACACTTTTTGTGCTCTTTAAAAATAGTATGGATTGTGATGATAAATTTGGGTTTGAATTCTGGTTAACCTGTTAGCTGTGTGACTGTGAGTGTTACTTAACCTGTTAGGGCTTCTCCTCTGGAAAACAGTGATAAGTGCTGCTACTAGGGAAAATTATATTCACTTTCTACAATAAGGACTGAATGAGAGAAGTAGAGCATGATGTTTGATATAGAGCGGGCATTCAATGTCCTTTCCTTCTATAAAGGTGGTATTTGCATCAGTGAACCTCAGACACCCATAATAGTCACGTGATTATGTAGGTAGTACATTCTCATGTTACACAGTGATTAACTCCAGCCATAGTGCATAGAGGTGGTAATCCCTGTGTTGCTAAAAAGCATTCCCTACCTCCTCACTGAGAATCACATCTAACTGATATGCAAAGTATCTCTGACTCATTTGATATTTTTGTGATACTTTATCCTTCATTCTTATTGCTCTATTCAAACATTTACCTCCATAGAACAATGTATTAAGTTAATGAAAAAGGCAGTTTAGAAATCTCACATGTAGGTAGATATCAGAGAGCATCTTTTTAGTGGTTTGATGTAAATAGTAGAAAGATGGAAAGTACAAAGAATTTAGAGAAGAGTTTATTTGGCCGTAGGGTAAACATTTTTAAAGAGAAAGTGAGAGGAAGTAAACACACAATTGTCATTTTTTTTCTTTTACAAGGTGTAATTCTGGTTTCTTGAGGGGTACTTGCTGCTTTGCACTAGAACCCACTATCTGAATTCCTCTAACCCTGTCATATGTCCAGCCTCATCTACCCTAGATATAAGTTGTGGACTCATCACCTGAGTAATAGATGGGTACCTTAACTATCTCGTTAAAGTCATATTGAGTACTATAAGGTCCAACAATTTTAGCTGTTAAACCCTAAATAGTTCTCTGTCTGATAATATTGGAATAGCCACAAATAGTTTGGTAACTGTGAATATGGAAGCCCAGAGAGAAAGGAAAAAGTTTCAATCTGCCATGAACAGCTCATAGGCTAGATTAATTGTGCATCACTTTTTGCTTGTTCTGGGGAAAGCATACAGGACCATAGCATCCATAGACTTCATAGCTGAAGTAACAATTAGGGTTTTGGGTAAAGGACCTCATAATTGAAAATAATAAAGATTCTTTTAAGGCCAGGCAGTATATTTGCAGTAAAGAAAAAAGATAAAGCTGAAGGTCAAAGTTATGATTTTTTCCAGAGTCAGGCAATAACAACGTGTGGAGTGGCCACATATTTCAGTAGACAAGGACTGCAACAGTGATAGTTACAGACCTCCCTTTTCAGGCTGTGACTTAACTGTTGTGGCCTAGCAGACATCATCAGTACACAAGACTGATTTGTTTGACTCTCTTTCATAGGACCAATTTCCAAAGGTGCCCCTGGATCCCCATTCTTATTTTATCATCATCTTCAAAGGAGTCTAACTGCACAAGAATGAAAAAATAAAATACGACTTTGTGCTAAATTGCATACATAGACCAAAGAAGGGATTAAGATTATGGTGTGTGTTAGATCACTGAGAGAAAGCACATGGGGGAAGAATTTTTGCTGCACCTTGAGGGTGGGTGAAATTTAAAGAAAGAAGGGAGAAAGTATATGCTTTCTGCCTATTTATTTTTGCCTTTATCTCCCATATTGATAATTCCTTGTATGACTCAGCAAAAATTGTTCAGGCACACAGAAAGACCATCTGAATCAGAGTATGTAGGTAGATGTACGAAGATTTCACCAGATAGAGGTGGAGGAGGTATTGTGCGTATTATCAGTAGAACCAAAGCATGCCATATATCAAGTCTTATATAATAATAACCCCTGCAAACCTTGTTCCACAATTCATAATGCCCAGATAGAGGCTATTTTTCACTTTAAAAATGTTCATACAACACAGGTATAGCTGGTAGCTCTTACTTCTCCTTAAATTTGCTTGTTTGTCCCTTCAAATGTTTTTATACTCCTGAAATGTTTTAGCCTTTGACATTTATACTTGAATATTTGCAGATGTTTATGGTGTACATCATCTTCTGGTTTTTGGTGTATAGTGCATCTTCTATGTGCTTATGGACAAGGCCAAAGCAATAGCATGAGCTAGGAGTGTGTGCATTCTCAGTTTGATTCAGCTTTGGTCTCTGTTGTGGTTTGAATCTGAACCGTCCCCAAAAGGCTCACGTGTGAAAGGCTTGGTCATCAGTCTGTGGCACTATTGAAAGGCAGTAGAAGAATGTTTAGGGGGTGGAACGTAGTGGTGGGAAGCTATATTTTTGGAGGGATTCCCTTGAAAAAGATATTAGGCTCTTAGCCCCTTCTTCCCTCTCTTTCAACCTCCGGTTCCCGTGAGGTGCACAGCTTTGCTCTACCATGTGCTCCCTACCATGTTATTCTGCCTCATCACAGGCCCAAAATCAATAGGCCAACTGACCATGGGCTAAAACCCTTCAAAGCTGTGAGCCAAAACAAATCTTTTCTTTTTTTAAGTTTGTTTTCTCAAGTGACAGAAAGCTAATTAATACAGTCTTTCTCTGCACAAGGTCCATTGGGATCAAACTGGGAATATAGTAGGGCAGAGTTGTTTGGAAAGTCCCCTAGGAGTTTACCCTTTGGCAGTTACATTTTCTACAGATTGTATATTTCTACCAAGTACCAGTATGACTCTTGGAAAAGTATATAACCTGAGGATAGCCAGTGGCTGACACTACTCCCTGGGCCTATGGGTCTTTATCTGAACATAGAAAGAACTAGAGTCCTTTAAGTTCTAAAATTTGAGAATTTGATAATTCTTTAGTAGTAAGAGATTTTTGGACACAATTTTCTCTCTATAACTATATTTATAAATCTATATAGATATAGTTATATATATCTCCTCTCCTATGTTTGTCTGCCTCAAGCCCAGTGCCACCACTATTTTCTCAGATAGAAACATGCTAGGTTAGTATAAGCACAGTGGACTTTTCTTAAGAAACTATACTCAGACGCTCAGCCAAGAGTTCCAGGCTCCCATCATTATCTCCAATTCATGCAAAAACAATTATGAAGGTGCTGTTCATAGAACATGTTCCATGGATTTTTAATCTATCTTCCTTTTCTCTTTCTTTGACAAATGAGGTAGACAACAGTGTAGGAAATGTATATTTAATAATGCTCTTAAATGAACAGAACTCTAAAATGAAGTTTTCTATAACAAAATATAATACAGACATGGTAGTCCAAAGTGCCAGGGGGGGAAGTGTTCACATGAAAAGTGTGGGAAGGGTGCTGGAAACAAAAATGTTTTGCTTTCCACTAAAGCTTTGTTCCTCAAGGCTTTATTTCCAAGGGTCATTGTCCTGATTTCTTTCAGAATTCTCTTCATGGGCTGGGGTGAGTCTCAGGTGTAGAGTACTTGCCTATCATTTCCAAGGCACTGGGTTTGATACCCAGCACCCTATAAAGAAAAGCGCAGTAGGCTCTCTGTGTTTCAAGGAGGGGACATGTTTGTTGCCTTAATTTGTATTTTTGCCCAGGCAGTTTTCTGAGATCTAAAATTCACAGTGAGAGACCTTGAGATGAAACTTAGCTTTCTTGTGGAACTCAGCTTGCAGGATAGGGTGAAGGGAAAAGAACTTGGAAGCTCAATGAACTGAAGATAATCCCATCAAGAATTTCAGACATCCTGTAGACTAAGTTCAGCAAAAGATCTTGCTCTCTGTGCTGAAGCAGTAGTCAAAGAGACAGAAACCAATGCCCAGTTTTCAGGAAGCAAGCAGATTTGCTTGCTCTTTTTTTCTACTCTGTCAGTTTCTTGGGAATGATTGACATTTGGGACTGCATGATTCTTTGTTGTGGGGAGATGTCCTGCACATTGTTGGATGTGGAGCAGCATCCCTGGACTCTATCCACTAGGTACCACTAGCACAGTCCTCTATCTTTCCAGAGTCTGACAACTAAAAATGTCTTCACATATTGACAGATGCCTCCTTGGAGATCAGAGAAGAAATAAAATCACCCAAGTTGAATGCTAGTGCTCTAGATCAATGATGACAAACCATTTAAAACTTTCAGTGATACAAACAGCCCTCTATGATGTGCATGCCATAGGTTTACCTCCACTGCTCTAGAGTCTGTTGAAAGCTGAGGTTAAAACTGTTCATACAAGACAAAAAATAGATGCCTGTGACATGCTGCCACTTAGGTAAGAGGTCCTGCCCTGTGCCATTTACAGGTCAACATAACTTCAGAAGTAAAATGACATTTGTTTGTTCAAAAAAGGTGCTCACATTATTTAGAAAAATCAGCGTTGCCCAATTACTTTGTTTGGCCTGGACTTATAACTGCATTTCATATCTTTGTCATTATTCAGGTGGGAGAAGCCAAGGCACTATTGAAAGCGTCATAATGAAAAGTGAATCATTTGAATCTTACTAAAAATACAGTCACTGAGTTGTGAAATGACAGCTGAAATGACAGCTCCTTAAAGCATATACTACAGTTTAATTTGCAGGCTATAAGACGTGAACATGTGGTGACTGAAACTTTCCGAGAACTCCTTCAGAGCAACATTATAGCACATATAACTATGGGTTTGGAGAGATACCATATCCCACCCTCTCACTCCCCAGGAGGTGATGGGTAAGGGGAGGTCCCTGAGATGTGGGCATATAGTTATTTTCACATGAAATCTTAATACATTTTTCTAGTTCAGGTGTATGATTTTCCCAACTTTTCACATATGTCTTTGAAGGTAGATCTATCTTGTTCATATTGGAGTCTTGTAAGGGTTGCTTTTGTTTTCTTTTTTCGTGTTTGTTCACTCCAGACTTCTACGTATGAATTCTTTCCCCCCCAGAAATATATCTTGAGGTAAAATAGTTTGGCAGATTCCTGGGATTCTGAAAATAATAACAATTAGATACTATACAGCCATTCAACAAACAATTACTGAGAACTGAGAGTCTCCCTGCCACTTCTGTTTAAAAATGGACTTATTCTTTTCTGTTTTTTTTGTGTTTTTTTGTTTTTTTTTTTTTTGGTACCAGGGATAGAACTTAGGCCCCTATGCTCGCGAGGCAGGTGGCGAAACCATTGAGCCAAATCCCCAGCCCTCTTTTCTGTATTTTGATGTTCTATCACGGTACATGGTCCTGTAGGTTGCTGTGGGAAAAGAGATGTTTTGAATTTCACCCTGGAGGGGGATTATCCCAGTGATAGTCTCAGGAATAGCGATCCTTAGAACAAATAGGAAATGAGAGATATAGTGTGGGCACGATCTTGGGTGGAGGGGGAAAGATAGGCTCCACCCCAGTTCCCAGCCAGCGCGTGAGTGTGATCTACAATGTCATGACCAGTTATAATGTGTGCTTCAAATGATGATCTATCCTTTTACTCAAAAAATTTATTTGATTTAAGCTATAAATTTTGGGAGAAAGAGTTGGAGGTGCAGCTAACTGGGTAATAGCATACAACCCCCAGTGTAGTGTGTGATAATGTTGTCCTTTATGTGTGTCATGGTTTTTAAAAAGGCTGCTAATAATCATTGTCAGGCAATACATGGTACAGATGAACAAGCTATGCTTTTTAGGTCATATTCACTAGTTCTGGGTTATTAAATCATTTACAGTGTTGTAGAAAAATCAAGGAAAGAAGAAAAGGTTCTATCTTCTACTAGTGAGATTCCCAAAGGACAGTTTCCTTAGGAAAATCCTCCTCTGCTGACAACTGTGGAAGATCACAAATGATTGGAACTGGTGCGTTTTCTGTGCACCATGCTACAGCAAGAGCTTAGAGAAGAGAAAGAAAGGACAAAAAGAAGCAGATCAACAGATCTTTGACTGCTTTGAGGTCTTAACAATCTAGGCAAGGAATGTATGTGCCTTATAGTATAAGATATAAATTACACATACACGCTAAGTGGGTATGGAATACAAAGAACTTCAGGAAAGGGGACTCATGTTAGAAAGAACTTTCTTGAAATGGGTAAAGGAAGGATGGGTATGAATCGCCATAGAATAGAGCAGATTTCCAAGAAGAGGCAGGGAGTGAGAGAGCAAGGCCGTAGAGTAGTGAGAGGTAGTTGGGAGAAGGAAGCTCAGGAAGAGAAGCTGTCAGAGGACTGTGACTGCGCAGGTGAGGACTTTAACTGATACAGTAATGCTCAGAGAGTCACTCTGGGTTCCGAAGCAAAGAAATGCTGTGATGAAATAGTGTTCCGGCTTCATTCTGGTACCTTGGTTCCTGCCCCTGAAATCTGGAAAGAAAAGAGTGAGTAGATGGTCTTAGAATCAGTCAGGGTGTGAGATGGTGAGGGGTGGATTAGGGTCAATCTGAGAGACCACACAGGAAAATACTGTAGGGGTTGGTAACAAACTGACAGGAAGGACAGAGAGCAGACAAAAATAGCTGCAGGATTGTGAGCCTGAAGGCTGGGGTTGGGGGTGCTAGAGTAATGCGGGATTGTTGACTGTGACTTCCTAAGTTCAGTTTTATACAAATTTCACATGCAGTAGAATATTTAGAAGGAAATGTCCTAACAATTAGAGCCAGAGAACTGCAGTGCAAATGAGAGGTGTTGGCAGGAGGAATAGCTGATGAGTCATTTGCCGCTCCTGTCACTTGGGGCTACTCAGAGGGGAGGGGAAGGTCACTTACGTAAGTGGTGATGTGTATGTCATTCTGCTTTGTAAATGACAGTGAGGTCTAGGGTAAGATTTAGAGCTAAACATCTCTCTTCAATAATATATATTTGCCTTCATTAGTGACTCCATAGATGAAAAAGTTTGAATTGTTACAAATAATTGAATTGTATGGAGTTGGTTTTCCTATAAATGTATCAGTGAGATCTGGGTTTTCTGTTAAGCTAACACATTAGTACCTTGCCCAGTAGTGGTGGAAATAGTACTACTTCCCCGGCATCCTGAAATGTTCTTTCTGTGGCTGATTCTTAAGGCTACTAGACTCTTTTTAGGAACACAAGCACATATATAACCAATCTCCCATACCATCTGAGATTTATCTCACCTGTTACGCCAATAACTTTACATGTTTTTGTGTGGCCAAAGCACATTATTTCAGCGTCAGGTAAGGGAAGAGTGGCAAGAGTACCCAGCCGATGAGAAAGAAAGAAGAGACACACAGGGAAGCTTTTGAGTCCAGCAACTCTAGGTGACTCCGCCTTTTGATCTCAGAGTCTGTAAAGAGAAAGAAAATTGTCCAGGGTCATATAGAAGAAGCTGGATGTATTAGTCACAAGACTGGCTAGCAAAGATACCTGAAAAGCAGCAAGTTGTTCCTTACACAGGCTATTTTGTGCCACCCTAGTCACCTTTCTGCACCCAGTTTAAAGCAAAGCTTTCCCTTTCTTCCAGTGAAGCTCCGTTCTGTGGTCCACCCCAGGGGGCACTCAGTCAAATACAAAGCTATACCAATGAAGAAATGGTTATCGGGCACCACATGAGGAATAGGCCAACCTAATATTCACAGCCAGTCCTTGGTTTGGGACACATTTTTTTCCTCCAGGCAGTGGCCTTTACAGGTTCATTGTCATTAGCATTCATCACACTTCTATAAAGAGATAAAGAATTATTGTTTTCATTTTGAAGAGGAGAAGGGTAGAAGTGAAGAAGTGAAATTAGTCTTCTTTTGCTCTATTTTCTTACTAGCCCATCCAATCTCATTTAGTTTTTTTTTTTCTGTCACTTACTAGCTGAGTGACTTTGCACAAGTTACTCAGTACACATTTGCTCCAATTTCTCCCTTTTATGACATAGGGCTAAAATAATAATCTATTGCATAGGGTTCTGATAAGGATAAGGAGTGAATACATATAAGGTACTTATATGTCCAGCACATAGTAAGTACTCAATTAGTGCTAGCTATGAGCACAATAATAGTAACCCCACTCAAGCCTAATAAGCATTACGTGTATGCTCATCGTTTACAAATCTGCTTCTTTAGCTTGAACTCCATCCCAAGTTCCACATTTGGATTTACAGTCACTACTGAATATATCAGTTAAAAACATAATTTTCAGTAAATATTTTTGAGCAGCCACCACTGGGATTCAAAGGAGTCCCATAATTAATGGCCTCTTCCCAGTTTAGCTTTGAACTGATTAAAGAGGACAAAAAAAGGAGACAAATGGAAGACCAAAGTAACACCTTTATTGCTAAATAATCTTATAATAAAGGATAATACTTTAATAAAGGCTGCAGCCTGGACTCTTCCCCAGGGAGAGGCAGAGCCAGAGCCAGACTAGGGCAGGCTTCTCCCTGCAAGGCCAGATTCTACCCCTGAAAAGCTGATGGCCTGAGGAACAAAGGAAAAGATATATTTCCTGAAGATTAGCTAAAGAGAAAGGGAGAAAAAGGAGCTGGGCTCTCCATGTCCACCTTCTCCTAATATGCTCACAAATCAGATAAATTAATTCCTTCTCCTCTGGGGAAGAATAAAAGAGAAAGAGTGAGACTTAAAAAGTTACCTATATAGGAATCCCTTCTCATCCAAGAAAAGATGTATAGTAGTAAAGATTTAGCCTCCCCCCAAATCTGTCATGTACTAGGTAATATGTTAAACATTGGGCACCTTTATCTGTGTACATCATGGGCATTTTGTGAAATTTTAAGGACTGTTTATTGAAAACTGCACCAAATGCTAAATGTCCGCCTTTGCCGTAAACAAATAATGATAACTTATACTGAAAGAAAACATATTTTTGATAGCCAGTCTGGCTACTTTCATAATTGAAAGACATTTTTAAATATAGGATCTTTTGGCAACTAAATTTCACCACCCAGAGTTAAGCAAAAGAGTAAAAAGAGAATAAAATAGAAGAGACAGGGCCGGGGATTTAGCTGAGTGGTGGTGCCTTGCAAGCACAAGGTCCTGAGTTCGATCCCCAGTAAAAAAAAAAAAAAAAAGAAGAGACAAAAAATCCCAATGTAATTTAAGTTCCTGGTTCCAGCTATTCCTGAAGTCAGTGCTGCTCCTACCTTTGGTTCCACGAAACAACACAGTACTTTTAGATTAAATGCTTCTTTTACCTTGGGTTGATTTGAGTTGGTTCTCTATTATTGACAACTAAGAGACTTCTAATCAAGGTAGCCACCAATTTATTCCTCAATAGCTCTCATACACATACATAATTTTTTCTTAGATACTTAAAAAATTGTAGTAAAAATATATAGTTCCATAGTGTTGAACATATTCACATCATTGTAAACCAGATCTCCAGCACTTTTTCATCTTGCAAACCTAAAACTTTATGTTCATTAACAGCAACATCCTTCTTCCTCACCTCACATAAATATAATCACACCATATGCATCTTTTTTGACGAATTATTTCCCTTAGCATAATGTCTCAGAAGTTCATCTATGTCATAGCAAGTGATAGGATTTCTTCCTTTCTAAGGTTGAGTGCTATTCCATTGTATGTGTATACCATATTTTGTTTATCCATTCATTCATAAATGGACAGTTTGGGTTGCTCCTACCTTTTGGTTATTTTGGATGCTGCTATTATGTAGATGAGTATATAACTATCTCTTTGAGACCCTTCTTGAAATCTTTTTTATATTCAGAAGTAGGATTGCTAGATCGTGTAGTAGTTACATTTTCAACTTTTTGAGGACCCTCTATTCTGTTTTCTACAGTGATTGCACCATTTTACAATACTGTTAACAATGCATGAGAGCTCTAGTTTCTCTGTATCCTCACCAATATTTGTTATTTTCTGGGGCTTTTTGAAAAAAATAGCAGCCATCTTAATGGGTGTGAGGTGATATAGTCTTTCTTTTTTTGGTACTGTGGATCGAACTTGGGTCCTTGTGCTTGCGAGGCAGGCGGTGGAACCACTGAGCTAAATCCCCAGCCCATATATATTCTTGTGGTTGTCATTTGCATTTCTCTGTTGTTAAGCACCTTTCCATGTATTTTTTGGCCATTTGTATATCATATATGGAAAATTGTCTATTCAAGTTACTTGCACATTATTGTATGTATAATGTGCAAGACATTGTCTGCCTAGTTCTAGCCTGGATATAGATAGCAAGTCTTCTGATTAACTCTTTCCTCTACAGTTTTCATTTAGTTTAGTTCCAGGTGGTATGATCTTAAAATTAACATTCAGTCTGTGTGTTTTCTTGACACTGTTCTTTTTTTTTTCCAGTACTGGGGATTGAACTCAGGACCTTGTACTTGTGAGGCAGGTGCAGTGCCACTGAGCTAAATCCTGGCCCAAAACTAGTTCAATATTAGGTTTTCCATGAACTAAAGTACTGTAGGCAGGTTAGGATTAACTCTTGGTGAGGATGCTAGGAGGTTAGTTCAATCTAGGGCTTTCGGATTAATCCCAGGTCAATATTAGTCAGCTCATGAGTCAGTCTCTTTAGGAATAAATATGACTAAGTCCCAGTCTAGACCTTTAGTTTTCAGCTTCAAAGCCTTCTCAAAAGTAGGTTAGAATCAAGCCAGTCTTGGGGGACTTAGGATGCAGTATATTAGCTGAATATATCAAAGGTGTTAAATAATCATCACATTCTCACTACTATACCAAAGTAGTCTTACAGAGTTAGACAGAGCCTCAGAATCCTAGACACTATTCTCCAAAAAGCCTGTCAGTGTGAAGGTACTCAAGGTGAGGCCTAATTGGATCTTTAGCCTATATGCTATGTTATGTTGTGTTAGGATTTCTATGACACAATGCAGTTTCAGCTGGAATTGTGATAAAAGTCTCAGTGAAAAGGACTCTAGAGATTTTTGTGCCTTGGTACATACTATATCTGTTAAAGAACTTAGATTGAGTTTAGATGTTATTTTGTCACCAAAAACCCACACGAAAAAAGCATGGAGAAGGTTGAGAGTATAGTTCAGTGGTAGAATATCTGTCTGGCATATACACAAGCCTCTGAGTTCAATCTCCAGCATCCATGGGGAGGGGTTGGGGAGGGACGGTAAAAAGAAACGCACCTGTCACTTTGATGTCCCCTGTGGCTTTGGCAATGTTGTTTTCAATCATACAGGAATAAGTGTTGTTGACTGTGACATTGTACAGCATGGACACAACTTTCATGGTCACGTTCTCAGAGTTCAACTCAAAGCTGGTGTTGGAGGCTTGTGAAAAGTTGGCGCCCTGGTCAGCTTGGGATGACCAAACCACTGTGGGCTGAGGGAACCATCGGGGAGCCTCACAGCGCAAGCTCTCTGAACTGGCATTATTGTCAACATTCACCTCTGGCATACTGAAGGCTGCAGGATCAAAGGTCAAAAAGGACAAATGTGAAGGTCAGACAGGCAAGACAGTATAGCTTTGAAGTGCTAGGTTTTAAAAACATGCTGAGCATGAAGGACTTTACTTTGCTCTTAATGAGCCTATTAACTATCAGGGGAAATAAGACTCACATGTTTGAAGCAGATAGGGACACTTTCATAAATAGGAAGGGGTGGAGGTGGAAAGGAGGGAAGCGGAATGGGAAAAAAACAAGAAACAAGATATATCACATACGGGTACACATTCCCAATGATGAGTGCAATCATAATGTATACCTAAAATGTATCAATAAACTTAATGAACTAAAAAAATAAAAACAAAATCAGCCATTTCTATCATTGAAGTGACTTTTTCCCCAGGATATTGTCTGTGTATGGCCCCTGGTATTGAAGATGCAATTTGCTCATACTATCGCTATACATCACAACACTTTGACCAATATTATAAACCCCAAGGACCCACGTTCTAGGTATATTATTATTATTATTATTACAATAGGTAATTTTTTCTAAGTAAGAATGATTTTCTCTAAGCTCCAGTGATTATAAAAAGCTTATTCCTTAGAAAAATTGGGATTTTCTAGGACTTTGTGGCGTTTTATGGGTTTTGTATATTTTTCTGCCTCGAGGATAGAGTTAGGATGGTCAGGAAGAGGAAAGAAAGAAGAAGTGAGCAGCGTTCACCTATCACCGCAGGAATCCTGTACACAGGCCTTGTCATCGTGGAGATTTGGAGTTTATTTAGGTAAAGATTGTATAGTTCATGTGTCCAAAAATAGAAATGGGCCCTTTTTGTCTTCTAAAATAATTCTCCCCCACTGAGAAAGAAATTTTGAAATTAAGTCTAGTTTCCCTCTATATCTAGGTAGAGGTATACTTGTAGAAAAATGTTAAGACCAGGACTTTCATTATGCCAAAATGCTAAGATGCATTTAATTTATTTATAACATCTTCCTTTGCCAAGTATGAACTATTGCTGAACACAAAGGACTTTACCTTGCTCTTAATGAGCCTATTAAGTATCAGGGGGAAAAGACTCACATGTTTGAAGCAGGTAGGAAACAAGCTCCTGGGAGATGCTTTGTGGAACTAAGTGTATGTGACAACAAACCACCACTTACTGAGAATGTACTTTGTGCTGGTACTATATTCAGGCATTCTTATATTTGATCCTCACAATAATCCTGTGAATATTCATTATTCCTATATAAAAGTAAACTTTTGTAGTAAATTTTAGGTTTACATCAAATTTACAAAGATAGTTAAGAGAGAGTTTTTATATAGTCCTACCTAGTTCCCTTTAATATTAACATCTTAATCGTTGTACGTTGGTAAAAATGGAGAATCTATCAGTAGTACGTTGCTATTAACTCAATCCAAATTTGCTCATATTTTTCGACTTTTTCTAGTAATGTCTTTTTCTATTTTAAGAACCTATCTAGGATATCATAATGCTTTTAGTCATTATGTCTCCTTAGGATCTTCTGGCTTGTGACAGTTTTTCAATCTTTCCATGTTTTTCATGGCCTTGAAAGTTTTGCTAATACTGGTCAGGTATTTTGTAAGACATCCTTCTGTTGCAATATGACACTTCTCTCATGATTAGGCTGAACTTTTGGAGGAGAAGACTATGGGGTAAAGGTTAAAAAATCATCTTTGTTTTCTTATCTTTTTATATCCCTCAGTGTATCTATCCTGTACATAAATTCATTATATATAATTCAGAAAATAGGTTGGTATGGAAGGGTAAATTTTATTGAGAGGGCACTATTGAGTTCATAGGCCAATATTGTGTAGGTTAATTCCCTTTGAACTTCTCCTAAAAGGCATTCTATTGTTATGAGTTCTCAAGGTACTTGTTTCAGATATGGACTCAGACCTAACTAGCATGGAAACGAAAAAGGCCAATTTATTAGCAATAGCAAGGGGTACTGTAAGGAGACTACATTTATTTTGGTAGAATATTTTAGGGAACACATCTGGAAGTTTAGACGTGATGAGAACACAGATCAAAAGATTTTAAGTATAGTAGACACTACTTTGGGAGGTGGGTGTGGGTCTTGAGCATAATAGCAAGATGGCAAACTCACAGAATTGGGAGGGGTTTTCGTTGACGTTGGTCATTGGCAAACACATATTTTATCAGTCAGTCATGCTTTTTAGCCTCCAATATCATTTGGTACTTTCCTTCCTTCTCCCCAGAAGTAACTCACCTCCAGTTTTATACTCAAGGTTAGCATTTCCTTTGCCTTTAGAAGTGACAATGTAGCACTGATAGGTGCCAGCATCTGTGAGTTGCACATTTTTCAGTCTCAGGGAAGCATTGCCAACTATCACTTGATCAGCAAACACTGCCGTCCGGCCCCTGAACATTTCATGCTGGTCTGACAGGTCATCTTTGCCTTCTTTGAACTCGTGGACCAGACCCATGACACCTTCCTTCAGCCATTGTATTACTATATCCTTAAGTTTGATATCAGGCTCAAAAGTGCAGCTCAGGATTCCATCCTCTCCAATGTTCCCAGCTGAGGTAAAGGTAGTGACTGTGATGAAATGTTTCCCTGCAGTTCAGGAAGCAAAAGTCAACACCAAGGGAAGCCTTAGAGCTTCAACCACTAACTCTACTGCTAAAAGCAAAACATATTTCTGTGATACATTTAAAATGCAGGAGAATAGGAAAACCATCTTGAAAATGAAGTTGATAACAGAAAGAGCAGGAAAACAATATTTTGATAATACAACAGATCTGCCATTCGCAATAGCTTTTGCGAGAACAATCAGCCCAAACTTTGAGAAGAAGTAAGAGGAAAGCACATTGGACTTGGATATGAAGATGAGAATCCAAGTCTTGGCTTTGTTACTTAATGCTCTGTGACCCTGACTAAGCCATGTAACTACTCGGAATCTCAGAAATGTGGAGACAACATTATCTGTCTAACCTGCCTTATGGGGTTCTTGTGAGAATCAAATCAAATGGATGTGAAATTAATTTGCAAACTGCAATTGCTCATTATAAGATATTGTTATTCTGTGGCACAAAATGAAACAGCATGTTGACTGAACTTGGCTTGTAATTTGGATGAACACTGAATTCTGAAGTGCCAAGACTTTACTGTATCTCTGAATGATGATGAAGCTGAGGCATAGCGAAGATTAAGTGACCTGGTTAAAATTAGTGTTAGCTATAGTATAATGAAGACTGGTAATTAAGTCAGCTGATTTTTGGTGCGTGGTCAGAGCCATCCCCTCCTCTCTGAAGATACCACCAGTACAATTATTGTGGTCCCATTGCCTCTTCACTGCTCAGCCTATACCTGCCCAGTCAGAGAAGGATCAATGAGCTGTTCTTTGTGTATTGGAAGCTGTTGACTGAGGATACATATAGGGGCAATTTAATTAATTGGATCTTCTTTTTAAAAAAGAGACGTGAGAAGGATTTATTAGATATAGATAATAGGATGCGCTCAGAGAAATGAGGCACCTTAACTGGATCTTCTTGAGAGGTTCCTGTGGTTTGGATGTGAAGCTGAGGAGGGGATGGCCTTAGAGCCTGAGAGGAGAGAGGGGCAAACACAAACAAGTATGGGAAAGAGACCATGTAGAGAAAAATAGAGTCCTCCAATCTGAGAGCTGTCTTGGATCCTGGCAGTGTTCAGGTCTAGTTGATGTTCCCATCTCTGCCTATCCTTTAAACAAACACTTCACAGCGTTAAGAATAGATGAGGGTAATGAACAATACAGCTAGAACTGAGGAACCTAAGCTTGATAGAATTGCATAAGAAAGAACAAAGACCTACGGATAGAAAAAAAAATTTAACTAGAAAAAAATGGCAGTGGAAATAAAAACTGGTACATAGGCTGGGTTGTGAGAAGGTACTGGAGGCTTGGGAATGTGGGAAAAAAGAGCCTGGAAGTAGCTGCCATGCTTGGCCATTCATGTGGGAGATTTGAGAGATAAACTATGAAAGAACAATATGAAAAATTTGCTGTGTGACATGAATATCGTACACCCCATCTCCTGCCTCGACATTTTTTTGGACTACTATAACGATTAAATTTGCTTCTCAGTTATTTTTACTCATCAGACTTATATTCAGTGCAAACTAGACCAGCATGGGTTATACACTCACACTCTGCACCTTTACAGACCTGCTCATCTTGCCACCTACCAGCCAGAGTCCCCCCTTCTCCTTTCCCACCCATCATCCACATTCTCGCCCCATTCAGATCTGTTCAGATGACACCCCTTCCACAAAACCTGCTTTTAGTCTGTCCATACAAAATGTGTAGGTATCCTCTGTACTCTCCTTGAATGTGGCATCTGTCCTCATTTACTTCTTTCTAGTCTATCTCTCACACTGATCTGTAAGCTCTTTCAAAGACAGAAACTGAACCAATCATATCTATAGGCCCTATAGTGCCTCATGCTGCTTCTACAGAGAAAAATATTTGCTGAGGGCTTGAATAACTGAATGAATAAATGGGAATATGTAAAAATTAGCAGCACCACTGAGCTAAATCCCCGGCCCCCTAGGGTTTTAATTCAAGGTGATGTATAAGATCTAGGATAGGGTCAATGATAAATGAGGAAGAGTTAAGTCTTAGAAAGTTACCAAATTGTACCTTAGCACTAATATCTTTAAAAGTTGTTCCAAAGTCTTGTTTTACACTCCATATATACATATATATTTTTTGGGGGGGTACCGGGGATAGAACTTGGGTCCTTGTGCTTGCAAGACAGGCAGTGGAACCACTGAGCTAAATCCCCTGGCCCTACACTCCATATTTTATTTCCTTATAAAGAAGTATTCATAAATGCTTATATATAATTTTGTACTTAGGTATAACACACATCTAAAAGTCTACCCGTCATAGCTATACATCTTGAAGAATTGTAATAACTTCCTCTCACCACACCAAGAGATAAAAACTTTACTATGCTCCTAGCACCTCCTTTATGCTCCCTCCTCGTCACTGCCTGCTTTTTCCAAAAATAGCAACCATTGTGCTGCTTTCTAACAGCAGAGGCTCATTTTCCTGTTTATGAACTTTATGTTCAGGGAATCATATAGAACATAATCTTTGGCGCTGCCATTCAGCATTATGTTTCTCAAACGAAGACGTATTCAGTCTCCTCAGCCACAGGAAACAGATTAGAACCACAGCATTCTTTAGTATCCAGTGTAGGAGAGGATATGAGCACTGGATCTCATAAGCTTCTGGGGAAGCATAAATTGGTAAACGACTTTGGAAAATTGAATGGCAGTATTTACTAGAAGCTGTTTATTGGCTCTTTTGGACGTGTTTAACTGTGAAGCGCTTATTTAAATATATTAGAAAAATTAAAAAGCAGCCAAACAAAGCAGGGAGAAGAACATTAAAAAAGATAAAAAAGTCAAAATCAGAAAAAGGAAAACAAGTCACGGAAAGTATAAGTAAACAAAAAGCTGGTTCTTTGAAAGTTGTAAAGCTAATAATACCTGTAACTTTATAGGCCTATTTTAAAGAGATGGAAGGAAGAAGAGAGAAGGGGAAGAGGGAAAGAGAGAGAGAGAGGGAGGGATGGAGAGAGGGGAGAGCGAAGAGAGAGGAAACTAGGAATAGCTAAAAAGATAAAATGACATAAATACAAAGAAAATGAATTATAAAGGAATATAGACACTCCAGGACTTATGATGGTTCAGCTTGCAATGATGATTTATGATGATGCAAAAGCAAAACATATTCAGTAGAAACTAGAACATTATATGTGAAGGGGCATGTGTGTTAGAATGAGTCTGATTAGCTAGTTCAGAAATGGATCCACACTTGTATGGATACTTGATTTAGGACACTGGTGGAACTGGGGAAAAGTGGTGAAGAACAGTATAATGGTGCCAGGTCTACTGGAAAACCACATGGAAAAATTGAACCTTCACTCTGATCTTGTACCATAAAATTAATTCTAAATGGTTCACATTATATTATATATATATATGGCAGAACTACCCAGCTGCTATAATATAACTTAGAAGAAAATCTTCATGACCGAGATAAACATAACAATTTTAACTAGATTAAAAATTAAAAATTCTCCATGCATAAAAGAAATTATTAGACTAAGTGAAAATTAGGAACTTTTGTTAATTGAAAGATATCAGGAAAAGAGTGGAAAAGCAACTATAGAGATATATATATGGCAGAACTACCCAGCTGCTATAATATAACTTAGAAGAAAATCTTCATGACCGAGATAAACATAACAATTTTAACTAGATTAAAAATTAAAAATTCTCCATGCATAAAAGAAATTATTAGACTAAGTGAAAATTAGGAACTTTTGTTAATTGAAAGATATCAGGAAAAGAGTGGAAAAGCAACTATAGAGAAGAGATTTAGCAATACATCTGCTCAATTTGCAACAACTATTATAAAAACTTCTTATAAATCCAAATGAAAAAATATCTAATAAAAATGGACAAAGTGTATATTTTTGATGATAAAACGGGAAAAAATGCTAATGTCTTTCCTGGGCAAGCACATATAGTTCGCTTTCTTAAGTTTTGGCCTTGCAACCACTGTTTATTGACAGCACAGCCACACTGGAGGGAGAATTACAGAAAAGGCAGCTGGAACTAAAAACTAAAGGTATTTAATAACAGATGTAGTCACAACTAAGTTAAAATGAATGTGTGGGCCTAAGTCAGGTGGTTTAGAGGATACAGAATAAACAAGTTTGCCTCACACAAGCCAGCTGCTGGCCTAACTCATGAGAGGTGTTTCGGAGAAATGTCTTACATGGAGGAGGAAAGAGATGACATCCTGCAACTGACATCACAATGGCATCTGTTTCCTACATGGCACAGTAGTCATGGCCAGTTTTCTCTTTCTCTAAGATGCCTGTGTAAAAACAGTGGATAGTCTTTAAAACTTGGACTAAAGTTCATTGAAAGGAAATCATGTATCTAGGCAGCTGTTGATAGAATGACCTAGACACATTTTCCTGTGTTTCTAGAATAACATCTTCAGCACTGACCGGTGGGTGGACTACTGATAATGTTCTTACTTGATTCTCTCAAATGACTGTTGAGTGACCATGCTTTTTCCATTCTAAAAATGAGGAAACTGTGGCACAAGGAAGTAAATGACTAAGGTGATAGAGACTCATAATGTAGAAGAACCAGTGCTTAACTCTGAAGTTTTCTGGGTCCAAGCTTTGTGTTCTTCCACGCTATCACGTGGAGTGATTTATTAGAGGTTTAGTGGTGAGGGGTAAATGGATTGTGGTAATGCAAGAAATCACATACCTGAAATACCAAAGCCAATGATGAGTGCAATTGCTCCAGCCAGAATAACGATGATGCTAATAATACTATGAAAAAAAGGGACAGAGAAACAAAATTACTTTTTACTTACTACTTTGTTACCTGGCACACATCTGTCATATGTAATATGTGCTACACAAGGCATCTCAACTTTTCTTCTACATAACCCCCTTCCTAGAAATATGTACTTTAGAAAGAACCTCAGCAGTTCTATCCTTATCCCTGAGGGTTCCCCTGGGGTAAGACAAATGCTAATCTCTCTGGAATGCCTAGTGCCTCTTGAGGGTAACTGGTCTCGTTCTTAGCTTACCCTTAGAACTCCTGCTCACCCTCTGGTACCATCTGTCTATCTGGCTTGCCTCTTTCTGTAAACTTTAAACTCCATTAAGGACAATAGTCATGTCTTCTCCATTTTGTACTTAGACCTAGTCCATTGTACCACATAGGTCTTTGGTGGAGTTTGTACACTCTTATTATAAAGTAATTTTTATTACAGAAAGGTTACAAAGTATAAATAATCAAAAAATAAGGCAGTAAAACAACCTGAAAGTCCATCATCCAGGCACAACCACTGTTAGGTCTTTGATGAGTATCCTTACAATTTTAATTAACATATAACAAAACAATACTTGGAAAATAAAATATATAAACATGTAAGGAAGTGTTGTTAGAATCATGTGGTAGATATATTGATCCAAGAACCATTTGTAGCTTATATCATTTATCCATCCAGTAACCTTATGAAGTAAACAAATTTATCATCTCCATTTTATAGATGAAGAAGTGACACAGGGAGATTAAGCATTTTCCCTAAAGTCACATAGTGTGCAAGTGGCAGAGCTAAGATTAAAATCTGTCTCCCCAGTCTGTACTCAGCTACTTCCTACACTGCTTCACCAGGGACCAGGCTCACAGATGGGGTGTGTCCCTCCTCTCTGCTTAGGGGAACCTATGCTCCAGGGGGTTTAGCTTTAGCTGTTGAGAATGAAGCAGATTGGCAGCCTGGCCTCGCATATACGTCATCAGGGAGGTGTCCTCAGCTACCCTGTCACACTGCTGCCAATTCACACACTCCCCACACCCACTCTGAGGTTACTCAATAGGTGGGACATAAGAAAGGCACAGGGAGGCAAAGAATGATGCTTTAGAGAAAAGAGAAAAGCATGGAGCATTTTACTTTCTCCCCTGAGGAGTTTCACTGTACCTAACTGCCTTTGGCTGTTGGGTGGGTCCACCAGTGAGGAGTAACAGACTTATAAGGAGCAACTTGAGTTCCCCTGGAGGTCAAGCCCTTATGAGGTGCTGCCATAGGCTCCACAAGTGGAGTAACAGGGAACCTGCCGGGTTAGTTCCAGAGGGAAACTGCATTTGACCACTTCTGCTCTTCAGACCTCTGCAGCCTTCATTCTTACTGGCCCAAGTGTGTGAGAACAGAGACATACTCACAGCAGGAGGCATCAAGTGACTGTCCTTGACTGCTGAGCTAGACAGCAGCTTTGCATTTGTGATAAAAGGGCATTCATTTACCTTTGGGTAAATTGCTTCGTCTTTCTGAGACTCAGTTTCTTTAACTATAAAATGGGGATAGGAGTAACTCTTGTTTTTCTTACTATAAAATTTTTATGGTTGCATGCGCCTCCCATTTATATGTTGAAGTCCTAACCCCTAGTCCTACAGAATGTGACTTGTAAGTGGTGCCACTGCAGTTATAATTAGCTAAGAGGAGGTAGAACTGCAGTAGGAAAGGCCCCTAATCTAGCGTGGATGGAGTTCTTATAGAAAGAGGAAATTTAGTTGAACATGGTGACGTAAACCTGTAATCCAAGCTACTCATGAAGCTAAGGGTGGAGGATTCCTTTTGCCCAGTGGATTGAGGCCAACCTGGGCAGTGTTGCAAGATCCTATCTCAAAAAAGTAGTAATAGGGCTGGGTATTTAGCTCCATAGTGCTGCCACTGTCTTGCAAGCTCAAGGTCCTGAGTTCAATCTCCAGTACCAAAAAAAAAAAAAAGTAATACAGTTAAAAAGGGGAAATTTAGACACAGACACACATGTGCACATACACATAGGCAGAACACCGTGTGAAGACGAAAGCAGAAATCTATAAGTCAGAGAACACCAGAGATTTTCAGCAAGCCACCAGAAGCTGGATGAGAGCAATGCAAACGCTCTCAGAAGGAACCAGCTCAGCAGACACCATAATCTTGGACTTCCAGCTTCTAGATTGTGAGACAATATACTTCTAGAATGTGGGTGCTTGAGCCCCTCAGTTTGTAGTACTTCATTATGACTTCCCCAACAAACATAAATGTCCTATTTTGGGATTAAATGAATAATGTATATTTTATAAAGGGCTATTCAAGTATTACTTTTTGCTATAAATAATTTCACCTGTAGCTATTTACTGCAAGTTCATTAAGAAAATTTTATTTAGTTTATGATTAAAGTTTTAAGGAGAAGGCTGGACAGCAGACAGTAAACAGGTACCTGGGCACTCACTAAGGAGAGGGGAACAATAGAGCTTGTTTCAGTCAAAGCATCAGGGCCTATCCCATCACTCCAGGCCCACATGTTTTCCTTCTGTCAACATAGAACCCTGCCATTTGGCAGCAAGTTTCCTATCTCAGCAGTGATCACCTTGAGGTTTGTTCTGAATTTGTATTCCCTTGGGAAACTGTTCAACCTCCAGTACCTTGGAAAGAGAAGTAGGAACTATCAGAGCAGCCAAATTAAATAATTCCTGTCTGTTGCTTATTAATTTTTCAAACCTATGAATAAAATATTTCACATAAGATGTTCTTACACTGCTTCCTGGTCCTTTCCCAGAATAGTTTCCAGTAATCACGCTACAGGAAAATTTCAATGCAAAACCATGTCTTCTAACTACTGTGTGCAGTTCATAACACACTTTTGTTACACAAAAAGGGCTTCAGTAAAAAATTTGGAGGAACTTGTTAGTTTTGTACAAATTTATTAAGTACTTTCTATGGGAAAGACATAGTGCTGGATATTAAGGAGGAAATAAAGAGATGAATCAGATAAAGTCCCTGCCTTCAAGGAACTTTTGGTGAAACTGAGGCAAAACACACACACACGTTTAGATAAGAGACAGAATATGATTAGTGGAGAGGAACAAATTTTCACAGGAATTCTTGGGATGTAGCCTGGGGAAAACGGAGAATCAAGGTACATTCCTATGAACAATTTCTAAGAAAGTGAAGAGAAAGATTGTATTCAGAAATATATCTAGTTAATCCATGCTACTACACACTCAGTGTGAAGGAGAAACACAAGAAACAGTGTTATTTCTACGTCATCGGCAGGGCTGAGCACCATGATGTGGCGCCCTTGAGGAGAGATTATGTTCTGAGGCTGCAGGACTCAGAGGCTACAAAGCTGGCTCAGCAGCCTGGAATTCTACCAAACACATCACGCCGCCCAAGGATGGCCTTGTTCAATTCCTTTTCATGTCTTTGCTTCAGTTGTTGCTGCCTTCTGCAGCACTTTCAAAGAACTGGGTATCTGTTAAGACATTGTATTGCATTCCTGAAAAACCTGACACTCTGCAAAATCACACAATAGAGTTACCAGAGCTTCTGGGAAAAAACAGGGTTAAAAGCAGCAACTTTTTAATTGGCCTACCAACAGAAACAGTAATTGGTACATTAATAGATACCTTGGAAGCCAAGGCAAGTAGCTCGATAATACCCAAATTTGTTTCAGGCGATATTAAAAATGGACCAAAAAGTAATAGTGTAGTCTCTCTGACTGTGGGTTCTCTGAGCCAGTGGGGTTTCTTTGAAGGTAGGAAGTGCAGCCTGGAAATTGTAAGCCCAGGATGTGCCTCTCTGAGGAGGAGCTGCAAGTGTAGGTGTTCATTTGAAATTAAAAGGGGGGGAAAAAGAACCAAAAACCATGCTCAGCCTTTCCTACTGAAGTTGTCATTCTCCTCTGGAAAAAGTATATGTGAAACAGCACAACTTTCACATTATGCTGTCATAATTCCCCTATCTTCCCATTACAGGTGAGCTAGTTGGTGTTCCAGGAACATATACTACAGCGGACAGACTGTAATACTGTGTTCATCAAGGAAATAACTAGGATAGAGATATGGATCCCTTAAGGCTAAACTTTGATTGTATCCGAGGTCCACAAGGATTTTGAAACAATAGCCAACTCTTATTGGGTATTTCTGTATATCAGTGCTATGTGTACAGTATCTTGTTCAGTTCTTACAATAACCTTAATGGTTTTATGGCCATTCTTTTTTACATATGAGGAAACTGAGGCTTAGTTTAGTTAACAGACAAAGCTATCACAGATAAGGGAGAGTTAGATTTCAAGCTTGGAGGATCTGATTTACAAGTTTGTATGCTTAGCAGTGTGCCATAAGTCTAGGAAAAGTTCACATGGCAGGTAGCCACAAGTGGGGAAGGCTCCTTTTATTCCTACCGCTATATTTCCCTGAAGATAAGACCTAGAGAAGTCTAGAGATTGAAAATCCCAGCCCCATTGAGCCTGTCTTTGCCTTACCTGCCTTCACAGTAGCTGCCAAACAAGAGGACAGAGTTGGCAGGTAAGGCAAGGATAGGCTGATGGGGGTTGGCATTTTTGATCTCTAGTTTGGAAGGCTGATTATTTTCTAGCTAGGTCTTATTTTTGGGGAAAGAGTTTATCTCCTCTAATTCCTTTTCTGTAAGTAAGGACATTTTGGATCGTCTATGTGGTGTGTAGATCCCTCAGTCTATAAAGCATAATATGTTCTTTTCATTGTTCAAACATTAATGGTTTTTGTGTCCTTGAGTTTTTCTACTCCATTCCCAAATACTGACAGATACTATATTCTGTATAGGTTATTAGTTTAGCTCTACTTGCATAATTGATAATATTTAAAACTTTCAAATCTAGGTTAAGTTAGCAAATGTGATTAATCTGAACAAATTCCACTTTTAAATTAAGTATTCCAAGTTGAATATTTGAGTCAACCAAGTAATAAGAAACATATTACTTTGTTCATAAACTAAGTGGCTGGGTTTATAAAGAATGCTGAAACTGAAGACTTTTATTTGAGCCTAAAACCTTTCTTTTTTGCCCCATTAAAGGTAAAAAAGAACTATAGTCAACCCTCCAAATGTTATTTCTACACACCATTACTCCCTAAATAACACAATATAACATGTTTTCACATAGCATTTATACTGTATTAGATAATACAAGTAATCTAGAGATGATTTAAAGCTAACAGAAGGATGTGCCTGGGTTACATGCAAACACTGTGCCATTTTATAGAAGAGACTTGAGTGTCTGCAGATAATGGTATCTGTGGAGTGGAAGGATGCTTAGAACCAGCTCTTCTTGGGTCCTGAGGGAGAATTTATGTTAAACACTATGTGGAACAAAGCATTGGGCTTCAAGGTAAAATTAACTATTTTCTAGGTATTGATTAATTGGGGTATCAGGGTCTGGAGAAGGTTATATAACTGGTTACTCAGGTTTTTTATTTTCTAAAGAATTCAGGGTGTAAAGTATGTTTCCTGATCTCCACCTACCCTTTCCTCTCATATGTCTCCTCTGGTAAAGCCAGGGCCAACTTTGATCTGGGGAACCAAGAACAGGAGCATCAAGAGCGGCAAATGGAGGATCGAGAACTTGGCAAAAAGCAGCTACTGTCACAGGAAGCTTGAAGAATGTGCATGGAAAATAAGAGTATATTCTGTTCTGTCCACATTTCTTTCATGGCCTGGTTTTGTGATCAGGAAGAGGATTTTGGAGAGTGTTATGTAAGAGATTTTGCTGCTATTGAGTACCAGGTGCAGGCATCCTCTTCTTTCCAGCTGTGCCCCAAATCCTGACACAGTATTGTGGAGTCCTGCAGATAGGCCCTGGATAACATCATGACCTGGCTCCCAACCTCACAAACCCAGAGACATGGCCAGCAAGTAGATACATCTTGCATGCCAACAACCATTTGAATTTTTAGCAGTGGTGACCTATAACATGGTGTTGGAGAAGACTGCAAGGTACCTCCATGCTAGCCCTTAATGTTTTCTAAGTGAGCACACAAGGCCTCATGTGTATCATCCCTGAGTCTGTAACACACGAAAGGGGGATTTCATAAGTGGCTAACTAAACAACTACCAGACTCTTAAGATAATTGAAGAGAAACATAGTGGTAGTTTAATGGTGGTAACTGACAGTTCTCTGACACACACTTTAAGAACACTGGTTAACAAACATGTCTGGTAAGGAAAGGATTTCCCAAACTTGTTCTATAGACTGTTTGGGCTGAATAATTCTTGTTGTTGAGGGCTATCATACATTGTACATTGTAGGATGCTTACAAAAACCCCAGTCTTTATCTCATAGATGACAGTACCACCCCTATTGTTATAGCCAAAAATGTTTCCTGATGCATGGCCCTCATTGAAAACCAGTGATCTAGGAGAAGTGAGACCAGGGTGATGTGATTAGAAAACTCATCTTTTGAAGAATAATTGAAGGAACTAGGTGGTTTAATTTAAAGGAAACTAAATATGGCAGTGATCATTTCAGTATCGGAAAGGTATGGATGGGCTTGTTCTCTATCACACTGTTACGCAGAGCAGGACACTAAGTGAAAGTACTAGGAGGTTAGATTTATATTCTGTATACAGAGACATTTTTCAACAGATCTCTGGTACTGCTCTGATATTGTGGCGTCTCCTATCGCTGGGGTTGGATAACCACTTAGAGAAAGATGTGGATAGCAAAGAGTTTCTAGCACCAGATAAAGATTGGGACAATTTTGAAAATCTCTTTCAAATAGTTATAGAATTCTGTAGTTTGCTCCTTGCTATTTGCTCTGGCATTGCCTTTGACAAAGTTGCATATTCTGTACATGCTTTCTAAAACCTTTGTTAGTAATAAAACAGTGCTAACTGATATTTACGAGGCACATTGCCTTCTTTATCTCACTTGATCCTCACAGTTCTGTGAGATAGATGCTACTGTCTTTGTTATATTGATGAGGAAGTTGAGGCTTAGAGTCACGTAACTCCCTCAGGCTTCATCCCTGGGAAACCAGAGCAGGATTAGTCTAAGTTCCTAGATGTCATTATTATTGGCCTTAATTATTTTGCTGTAATTTGTATAAATCCAACTTTTTAAAAAATCTCAGGATTCAAATCAGTTTCCAGGCTTGTGTTATTTATCCAATGGAAGGCTAACACACAGTTTCATCAGTTAAAAAAAAAAATTCATCTTCCACAGAATGAATCCTTTGTTTGCTACTCTGTAAGAAAAACTGGAAGGGTGGAAAATTCCAGAATATTAACAAATGGATACCTTTCCCTAAACAATGTTTGAGTTGGTAGCAAAATAATTCTTTTGTATTGGTAAGCCTGTTCTATTTATAACTGTCCCTTTGATTGCCATGAAGAACACATTAGCATTTCATCATCCTTGTACAAACTGTTTTCCACCAGCACAAGCAGAGCAGACAAAAGTCAATACAAGGTTGATTACTAGTTCTTTTCTTAATCAGACCTGTATTTCCTGTTCCTCTTTATTCTCACTAAAGACAAAAAACATTTCTAGAGGATTCCCTCAGCAGTACAACTGATCCCATTGTGTTCAATAACAAACACATTTCTAACCTTTCATGACCCTCCCACAAAGTGCTTGTACTGTTAGAAAAGCCAGGTATTCTGTAAGCAATGTGCCTGGCTTACACATAAACAGCCTCTTAATTATAGGTTTTCTAAACCAGGAGTAGGGCAGATTTCTAGCTGCACTCATTTACAGGAACTAGTGTGAGTTTTGGCTGCTAATAAACACTTCCTTTTCATGAGTGGCTGTTGTCCTGGTTGCTCATCCCTTCACTCACACCTGTCTCCCCACCTTGCTCTCCTTACCTCTCATTCCTCTGCCCACCTGTAGGTAAGGGTAGGGACCCTATTTAGTGATAACTCATTCCTGGGATGGATGAAACAAGGAGAAAGCAATGCTATTCCCCTCTGATCAGCTCCCTAGAGAAACTGGCATTCTTTCCCTGATGAGAGCTCCACAGGAGTGGAAGACTTGCACAATTGAGCCCTGCTACAATTAATCCTATTTCTGCATCCACATTCAATACTACTTTTTCCACAGAGCTATTGTGAAGGTCTGAGAAAGAAGTGATTCTTTCGAATGTTTGCTGTTGTTTTTAAAGGTAAAGTTAATTCTCATGGTTATCCCTCCTCACTATCTCTGAATTTAAATAGCTGACTCCTCATTGATGATAAAGTTCAAACTGAGTGTAGAGTTTAAGACTGTTCTAAAATACTGCAAGCTATTTTCCTAACCCTTTTCTTTCTCTGGAAACTTGTGTCCTCACCAAATTGTTTTGTTCCATCTCCTGTTACTCTGCTTAGAACACCCTACTACCTCCAATTGATTTATCAAAAGTAGATGCACTCAAAGTCCACCTTAGTTCTGACCCACCTTAGAAGACCATCCCAGAGCTGCTGTCCCTTTGCCTTCCTTTGTGGATTTAAGGGAGTGGGGTAGAGGATGGGTCTCAAAAGGCTGAGCCTGTGGGAGAGGAGGAGGGCAAGGGCAAGGACTGGGATTTGGGGCTAGAGATGGGGGGACAGGAAAGACAGGGCAGGCTCGCTCTGGAGAGAATGTTTCCATTTCGCCTTTCTTCCCCATTACTACCATGGCCAAAGGTCCCTATGATAAGGGCCTCAGATAGATGAATGGCCTGACAGAGCCAATGATGTATAATCCAGATTACCTTTTTGACTCCCCAAAGCCACAGTGATTCTTCTGACTTTTCATTGCACTTAGGAAACCTAGGCCTGTCACTTAAGACACGCAGAGAAGAATGTGGGCCAGTCATCTCTCCAAAAGCCTAGCTGTGGTAACAGTTCCTTATTTTTCATTAATAAAGCTAGAAATAAGCATATCTTTCACCTTCAGAGCTTTTCTGTGCCAAAGCACATACACCTGTCTTCAGTGGTCTTATTCTCTGTGTTTTGAACTGGGGCATGATGTCACATTTGTGTGCTTGAAGGTTTCTATCAGCATTCTTTTGTTTTTTTCAATTTCAGATATATCAGAAAATCTTCCTAGTGAAACAGAAAACTGTTTCCTAGAAATAAATAAGCAATGTATTGTTCATTCTGCCAAAAGTCCAACCAGGATTCCATTGCACATCCTCACCTGCCAGAATCCACATTCTCATATTTTAGATTTGTGCACAGTTCTATAGGTGTGGCTGCATAGGGCACGTGAGATCTTGGGTGTGAAATGAGGATTCATCCCTTGGAGGCCTGATCCACTTGACCCACAATCATCAGCAGCAGACGAGCCCGGGGGCTTCCCTGTACCTATGAAAACCCTTGCCTGCCTATGCCAAGAATGACTGTGCAGGCAAGGGCAGAGGGAAACAATCTCTGTTCCAAGGAATGAAGAGGCACTCCCTGTCCTAACATCAACGGGCATCCTTGAGTTGAATGCTTCTGTGGACCTGTCCATCAATAACAGACACAAAGGAAGTTTCCCCAGCTTTCCACCTTCCAATCTGGAATCTGTATTTATCCTCTCCTTTGGGCCTGGGTTTCACCCAAAGCCTGCCCAGTGACCTCAGATTATATGACTAGGTCTTTTTCTTGTAGTCCGGCCTGACTCCCTGGGTACTGGTCTCAGCTCTCTCCTGTTTTCCCTGATATGGACTCCTAGCCTGATATGCAAGAAGGTCCAGTCACGTCCTCCAGTCGTTACCTCCAGCTCCCACCCCTGACTCAACTGCAGTGATCACTGTGACTCACTACAGCTCAGGGCAAGACACCGACCAAGGGATGGGGTACAGAGCTATTGTGAAATTCAAAATTTTGTTTTCTGATTAAGATTCCTGCAATTCTGGGCATGATGCTGTGTGTCTACAATGCCATCTATTTGGAAGGCTGAGGCAGGAGGAACATGAGTTTGAAGCCAACCTGGGAAAAATAGTGAAGCCCTGTCTCAAAAAGATATCTGAAAATTTTTACGTTTTCTTTAAAGAAAAATGATATGATTTAAATATAAATAAAAGTCAACTTGAGCCTAGAAAGTGAAGAATGAACATTAATCCTAAAAACTTGAAAACTTTGAATGCATCTAAACTCAAGAAGAGCTTACATAAATTTGTGAATATTTTATTCCATTTATTTCTCCATTTCTGGCTCCCTAACCGCATCATGTCTCTTAAATTCTCAACTATTTTGGGTCCATAAACTTGCCAGGCTTTTTCTTGCCTCTGTGACTTTGTTTATAGTGTTTTTAGGGTTCTTGAACATGGTAGGAACTTAATGTTTGTTGGATAAATGCTCTACCTCACAGACTGCTTCACTCAGACTGTTTAGAACATAGAATCTAAAACATATTGAATAAATAAATAAATATTGATACTATTCTACTAGGGGAAACTAACACATTCTTAACTTTTGACATACCCTTTTATGAGAGTAATTATCATCTTCCTCTCTAAAGGCAACAAGTCTTTAAAAAAGTTGTAGAATGTGAAATCTTGCCGATGCTATACATTTACAAAATGCCCTGGATGTTGGGAATAAGAGAAAACTGGTTGGTTGTGGTCAAGAAGGGAAACTGGAGAGGGAATTAATTGACAACAGCCATGCTTGATGACTTGCTAAACTTGAGTCCTCTTGGTCATTTCATCAATGAAGTACAGAACAGAGGTGACCTTATAAAAGAAAAAGTCATTTTCTAGGGAATGGAGAGTTAAGTTTCCAGCTGTAATACATACTAAATATCTTTGAAAAAAAAAAAAAAACACCTTACTAAAAAATTCTTTATAAGCTGAAAACAAAACAAAACAAACAAAAGATCATACAAATATCATTGAATACTTGGTTTGGCTGGCAGGAAAAATAAGGGAGACTTGCAAGAGGTAAAAATGAAGCAAAACCCTAAATCCAAACCCGAGAAGAAATGCTGAACCCATGTACGTATTACGGAAATCCAAAGCTTCTGTTTTGGTCATACAGAGCACCAGGAACAAAGCAAAGGCAGCCCTAATTGAAGACTCACATGAGCTAGAGCCTTTACCCACAAAAAAGGCAACAACTCATTTGGTCTTGGTTTTTGCTGAAGAAAAAACATACTCCTGGAGATAATGTATGTGCTAGATAGTCATTATGCAACTTTGAGCCATGTATCCACAATGCCTCCGATCGCAGTGAACCCTTAATCAAGAATTAACTTTAAAATACCCATCCTTGGTAAAGTTTTCAGTGCTTAATATAAGCCAAAGCAGATATTTTCTGAAGAAATGCACTTGTAGCCCAGGCCTCAAAGAATTTCACCTAACAGTATTCTCAACAATAAGAGCTCAAATAAAAACACAAACACACAAGTAAAAAGCTGCCATGAGTAGGAACTGAGATAAACAAAGGTCAGATTTGGAAATTAAAAGAGTAAAGTTAAGATACAGAATATAAAATAAGCCTTTTTAGGCTGGGGATTTAGCTTACTGGTGCCACCACCTGCCTCTCAAGTGCAAGGCACTGAGTGCCATCCCGGGTACAAAAAAAAAAAAAGTTTTTTTGAAATGTTAAAATGAGTGAGTAAGGAAATACAAAGCTCCTTCTAAAAGGAACAAAAGGGACTGACCAAGTGGATTTGAAAGAGAACCAAACAGCACATCTAGAAATAAATAATAAATAACTGAAATTAAAAACTCACC